ATCATCACAGAAAATACACTTGAAAACAGTGAGGAAGCCTGGGTTGGTGGCACCCACTTGTAACCCCAGAGTCACTGCAAGTTTGAGGCCAGCCAGCTTTGGATACATAACAAGACCAAGTCTCAAAATCCCACCACCCCCAAAAGTAAAATATGATGCCACAGCACCATGTACACACTCCTGAGTGGCTGGCTAAAATGAAAGTGCCCAGCGTTACCAAGAACGGGGAGGAAGTGGAACCCATCTGTCACCTATAGGACCGAGTGTCTCTACAACCACTTTGAGAAAGTATGTAAGACATGCACGGTGGCATACACCTGTGACCTCAGCATTGGGGAAACAGAAGCAGAAGAACTGAGATGTCAAAGTTACCCTTGGCTACATAGATTAGCAGCCTGTTTGGACTACATGAATCCCTGTCCCAAAAAAGAAAGATAAACTAGTTTCAGGACATCCTCCAAAGCCACAGAGAAACCCTGTCCTGAGATATATATAGATTGTGTGTGTGTGTGTGTGTGTGTGTGTGTGTGTGTGTGTGTGTGTGTGTGTGTATTACTTGTAGCCGGATATGGTGGTGCATGCATGCCCATGAGCCCTGCATTTGGGAGACAGAAGCAGGGTTCTTGGGAATTTGAAGTCTAATTTTCTAATTTCAAGCAAGCAATGAGTCTAAAAGATGGGGAACAGGGAACAAGAAAGAGTAATAGAGTAATAGGAGAAGAAAAACACATATTGCGTATTTTCTTTGTGTGTGTGTGTGTGTGTGTGTGTGTGTGTGGCTGGCTTCACAAAACTCATTTTGCTGCAGAAGAAGACACAGCCCAATTCTCTAAGAGTCTCTGTCCCGCCCAAGAGCTGTTTTGATGTCTTCAGTAAATCTTAGACTCCTAGACTGTTGCCCTGGGCCCCCTCCAAATACCTGCAGCCCCTGAGAAAGTCGTGTCTCTCCTCCATGACCTTCTATCCAAGCTGCTCACTGCACTATGGACCAGCACCTTCTCCAGACAAGCCACGGGCACACCACTGCCTTCATCTTCTCCCCGATGATTCTGACTCCTGGGCTCCTACCCATCCTTCAAAACCCCAGCCCCCACTAGAAAGAGACCTCCCCCTCCGCCTCACCTTTGACATGTTCGTGTCTCTCTTCTAGGACTTCTTCTTTTTCGTCGTGTGTCTGTCTTGGGCTGCCTGAGGAGAACCCAGACTCTGCCTATATTGAACTGTGCCTCAGTTCTCACTGTTAAGATGGGGCTGGTGATAGTCCCTGCCAAACTGGGTTGTGCTGAGGGTCAGGTGACTTGCTACATCTGTCACTGGCGATGGGACCAGCGCGGGCAGGTAGTGCCAGTGTTTGCTAGCACCAGGAAGATGTGGGCTCCTGCCTTACTGCTTCCAACAGGTCATTTTCTACTGTCCCAGTGCCGTGCTGCCTAAGGATGTTTTGGTTTTTTCGAGACAGGGTTTCTCTGTGGCTTTGGAGGCTGTCCTGGAACTCGCTTGGTAGTCCAGGCTGGTCTCGAACTCACAGAGATCCGCCTGCCTCTGCCTCCCGAGTGCTGGGATTAAAGGCGTGCGCCACCAACGCCCGGCTTGCCTAAGGATGTTTTGATTTGCCAGACCACATGGCAGGTGCTGGGATTCACTGACAAAAAGTCTTACGCTTGCAACCAAAGCTTGCAAAGGCAGCCCAGGCAGGGTGGAAGAGAGCCTGCAGGTGAAGGTGGGCAGGGCCCACCCCAGGCAGGGCACACTGACACATGGCCAGGAGAGAGGAGATGCAGCCTGTGCAAAATGAAGGGAAGCAACATTCAGAGGGTGGCAGGGCCTAGAAAGGACCAGAGCCCAGCTGTGCAAATGAGGCCCTTAGACTGTGACATTGCGGCATCAACCCTCCTCGTAGGGGCTTTGTAGAAACGGGAAGTCCCAGGACACTGAGGTTGGGTGTAGCAACAGGGTGCAATGAGCCCCAAATTTGAAACCCAGCAATAAACACATAGATAAAACTAAAGCCAAGGCCAAGAACTGAGAAGAACCCTGAGTCACTGAAGCCAAATCTGCTTGCGGGCTCTAAGTCCTGAGGCATTCTGAAAAGCAGCCAGCATTGGTGACTGAAACCTGTAATCCCAGCCCGTGAGAAGCAGAGGCAGGAGGATTGTCACAGGTTTGAGACTAGCCTGAACTGTATAGTAAGTTCCAGGCCAGTCAGGGCTACCTGGGAAGACCCTGTCTCAAAACAAAGCAAACCAAAAGCAATGCGTTTAATCCGAGGCGGATCCCACTGTGTGAGACATTAGGATCTGTACAGAGTTGGGGTACAGCTCAATGGTAGATCACTTGCCCAGCGTGCACAGGCATGGGCAAGACCAAGGCAGGCCTGGAAGTACATGCTTGATGCCAGCACTCACAAGTTTAAGGCCAAGCTGGGATACATAACAAGAGCCCATCTGAAACAAACTTTCAAAGGCCTCACATTTCTAGACGGAATTGATTAAAGCAGTGAGTCCAATATTTTTTCACACCATTTGTTATTCATTCAGCAACCACTGGGCACCAGCCACAAGGACCATGCCTGCCTCCCCTGCCCCCAGAAGGGCAACCACTCGGCTGTCCTCTCAACAGCATTCAGTCAACAAACATGATCCCGTGTGTCTAGTTCAATGGCTGGCTCCTGTGCCTGTTTGGCCACACTGCCTGGAGTCTAGCTTGGTCTCCAAGCCTTCATGCTCATGTCCTTCCCCTTGTGCCTTTGAATGTGAATCTGCCCCCAGGGGTCTCTCCGGATCCTCCCACCCGGCAAGGTGCCCCCCTCTTCGCTCCCACAGCACCCTGGGTTCCCTGCTATCATAACACCCTGCACCCCTCCAGCATACCTGCCTCCTGATGAGTTTCCTAGAGGACACATCAGTGTGTGTGTGTGTGTGTGTGTGTGTGTGTGTGTACATTTTCATGGGATCCAACATGGAACTCAAAATCTGGAAGACCTCCACCTCCAATAAGTCTCTGTACAGTGAATGAATAAACAAATAAGCCAGTAAAGAGTGCCTATGAACCCATTACACTATGCCACGCTGGAGAGTACAATTCTTCATTTGTGTGGGCCCACACACTGGTGCTGGGAACCAAATTCAATAACATGCCGCTGGCTCCTCTAAGCAGGTTTATTGGGATATAACTTCCATTCCACAGATTTCACTCACCTGAAGAATTCGATTCTGTAGGTTTTATTGTTTAAAGTTATGCGATCATTATCACTATCTGCTTCTAGAATAGTTTCATCAACCATCCCCCAAAGTAACCCCATGTTCATCAGCAGTCCCTCCCCATTTCCCCAACTTTCTCCGCCCCACCCCCACCCCTGTCTGGAAGTAGACAACCATTAACCAACTTTCTGGATGGATCGGCCCCTTCAGAACATTCCACAGAAATGACATCACAGCGTGTGGGCTTTTGTGTCTGGCTGCTTTTATTTAGATTAGTGTTACAGAAACATGATTGCATCAGATCATCTGTGGAGATCTCGCTCTTTCCTATGGCTGAATGGTAGCTCCTTCTATGGAGAGACCATACTTGACTGACCCATTCCAAAACTCCAGTGATACGTAGGCTACATGAAAGTGTGCAGCAAAGAGATTTTGCAATCGTGTCTTCACGGTGCCTCATTTTGTCTTGGTGTTTACCGCTCAAGGAGGCTTATGCTAACCTTCTTTTCACAGACGAGTAAACTGAGGCCTGGGTGGCGTGTTGAGACTTGCCAAAGATCCCAGGCAATGAAGGGGCAGGAATGCTAAGTAAGCCTGTCCTCTGTGTCACTCTGCTTCCCTCCCAGGTCTGGTGTGGGTTTCATGTCTCTGTTTCCCTCTTGGACCCGGTTGGCCATTGTCGCTTAGCCTGTATCCACCTGGCCTTGGATCCCCCAAAGGTTTGGGTGTGTGCTCCGGAGGAAGGTAGTTGAGCCTATATTCTATCTGGTTTGATTGATTGGTTGATTGATTGACTGATGATTACGTATGTATGGGTATTCAGAGGCAACCTTCTCATTCCGGAAGTCCTTGACCCTCCCATCACCCCACAGAAAAGGAGCCCCTGCCACCTGCCCCAGTGCCTCCCAGCCCTTCCTTCCCTCAGCACTTCCTTCTGCTTGAGCTGTCTTGCCACACCCTGGCTCTCTACCAGCAGACAACCTGAAGCATGTCGCCGGCCGCCGATACAGTGGTTGTGATACTAGGGTAGGACTGACCTCTGTCTGTGTCTGCACCTCCAAACCTGGCTGTCTCTCCTGAGCTGCCATTGCATTAACTCAGTCTGGAGTGGTGCGATGAATGCATTGCACTGTTTAATGACGGTGCAAGGCACTGGCTGAGTGTGTTTCAAAAGCCATTTGATCCTAATAGTCCTGGGAGGTGTGTCTAATCTCCTTTTTATAGCAGAAAAACTGGACACTCAGGTGAAGTTTACAACCCAGGGCTTCAGAGAGAGGAAGGAGGGGGGAGGGGGAAGGAGAGAGGGGGAAGGAGGGGGAGGAAGAGAGGGAGGGAGAGGGGAAGGAGGGGGAAGGGAGGGGGAGGAAGAGAGGGAGGGAGGGGGAGGGAGGGAGGAGGAGGAAGAGAGGGAGGGAGAGGGAAGGAGGGGGAAGGAGGGAGGGAGGGAGAGGGAGGAAGGGGGAAGGAGGGAGGGAGGGAGAGGGGAGGAAGGGGAGGGAGGAGAGAACGCAGTCTCTTGTCTCTTAGACCTCTCCTTCCAGTGTACTGCCCTTCCCTTCCCTCCAAGGGTAGTGAGTGCCCCACTAAGAAACAAGTGTCAAATTTAGATCAGAGGCTAGGAACCCATTATTTTAATGTCAGCACTCGGGAGACAGAAGCAGGTGAACCTCTGTGAGTTCAAGGCCAGCCTGGCCTATAAAGTGAGTTCCAGGCCAGCCAGGTCTACACAGAGAAAGCCTGTCTTGAAAAAAATGAAAGAAAAAAAAGGAAGGGAGGGAGGGAGGGAGAATCAAGGCTGTTTTGAATGGGTAACTTATAAAAAGTGGACAAGGGAGCTCAAAGCTTCACGCACCCAACTGTCCTGTGGTCTCCTTAGATTCCCACATCAGGACTAAGAGAAAACTAGGACTGCAGTGGAATTTATTGTCAAAGAGTGTGTTTAGCAGGAATGAGGACCTGGGTTCCTCTTCAGCCGCCCACCCCCCAAAGAAAAAGAGCAAAACAGGGGGAAGTGGAGAGATAATGAGGCTGAGATAGAAAGTGCTCAGAAAGGTTCCATGGTTCACAAGAATTCGGCAAAGAGGGAGAGGCCGGCCCTGCAGTCAGCCCACAGGCACTGCACACCCCCACCCTGAAGCCTCAGTTTCCACGAGGAAGCTTAAGAAAGGAAATGAAGAAAGCAGTCACTGTCCTGTCCATAGCATCTTGAGAGGCACAGAAAGGGTAAGGATGCTAAATTCTTCTTGATTCTGATGGGGAGACAGATTCACTCATTGGTTGTTGTTATAAGACTGCTGGGCCCTCCCCCCTGGAAAGATGAGTCGTCCTCCAGCTGCTCCAGGATAAGTCTGTCTTGTGTACCCAAGCAAGAGACCACCTTAAACAAATAAAGGGAATGCTCAGAAAGGCTGGAGGGAGGCTGCACATACGGCTTGGCGGTTAACAAAGGGTCCACGTTTGGTTCCCAGCATCACATGGCAGCTCACAGTTGTCTGATTCCGTGCCCTCTTTTGCCCTCTGTGGAGAACCAGGCACAAACCTGCAGGCAAAACATCCACACACACTAAAAAAATTTTTAATGTGTCTGGATCTCCACCATGGCAAAATAAATAAATAAAGAGCAGCTGGGCAGTGGTGGCACACACCTTTATTCCCAGCACCTGGGAGGCAGGGGCAGGTGGATCTCTGTGAGTTCAAGGCCAGCCTGGTCTACAAAGTAACTTTCAGGATAACCAGGGTTACACAGAGAAACTCTGTCTTGAAAACCATAGATAGATAGATAGATAGACAGACAGACAGATACACAGATACACAGACAGACAAATAAAAAATTTTGAAATAATATTTTTAAAAAGACAATGAGAAGCCATTGGAGATGTCATGGCTCCACACACAGCAGGAAAATAATGTAACCACCTAGGAGACAAGCATGGAAGTTCCTTCAGGGATAAAAACAGTTACCACAGGAGACCATTTGAGTGTCTTCTCCAAATTCAGGTGGAAATTTTATTACTAGGAGGAGATTAGAAGGTGAGGGTTCCAAGAAGTGCACTCCTGTGATCTCAAAGCTTGAAAGACTGAGGCAAAGAGGATTGACACAAGTTTGAAGTCAGCCTGGGCTACAGTGTGAAACCCTGATAAAATAAAAAGGTGATACCTTTAATCCCAGCACTTATGAGGCAGAGGCCAGCAGATTCTATAAATTCAAGGCCAGCCTAGCCTTTATAGTGAAACCGTGCCTTAAAAAAACAAAAACAAAAACTGGTGATCAGCTCTGCTCTCATGGTGGTCTGAGACCATTATCTGAGAAGTAAGTGAGGGCATTGTTGGGAAGGAAATTTGGTTTCCCCAGCCCTCTCCATGCCTGATGTGCCCCTCCACATGTGACACAGCAAAGAGGTCTCTGTGGATGCTGGTGCTTAAAGGACTGTGGAAAATAAACATATTCTTTCTTTTCTTTTTTCTTTTTGAGACAAGGTATCTCAGTAGCCTTGGATATCACTCTGTAGACCAGGCTGATCTCAAACTCACAGAGATCTGCCTGCCTTTGCCACCCCAGTGCTAGGATTAAAGGCAGTGCTACTACATCTGAATACATACATACATACATAATGTGTATGAGTATTTTGTCTTTGCACCATGTGCATGCCTGGTATTCCAGGAGGCCAAAAAAGGGCATCAAATCCTTTGGAACTGGAGTTACAGACAGTTCTGAGCCACCATGTGGGTTCTGGGAATTGAACCTGGGTCCTCTGGAAGAGCAATTGGTGCTCTTAAACCCTGAGTAATTTCTCCAGCTCCCAGAAGTTTTTTTTAATTAAATTATTTTAATTGCATTTATTTACGTGTGTGTGTATGTATGCACATGTGTGTGTACATGTGTATTCATGCCAAGGCAGGTAAAGGTTGGAGAACCATTTGAGGGAGTTGCTTCTCTCCACCATGTTGGTCCCAAGGAACAGAGTTATATTGCCAAGCTTGGCTGCAAGCTCCTTTTCTTGCTGAGCCATCTTGCTGGCCCTAAACTTTCTTTAGAGTAATGAAAAAGTTTATGAATTATATCATGGAGGGAGCCATGGGGCTCTGGGAATCTCCCAAAAGCCATGAAACTATATAGCCTAGCTGGTGAACTTTATGGCATGTGAATTGTATCTCAATAAAGATGTGATTTAGAAGAGAAGAATGAAAAGACAGCATAAAGATGCCCTCCATGGTTCTGTAGAAAGGGTATTTGAAGGTGAAAACTACCAGCCGACCTACTTTTCCCATCCCACAGCCTGCGGCTAAGCACAACACCCTGAGCCCCCACCACACTAGGCATGGTTGACTCCGTGTGCCAGTGGTCTCTGGCTCTTCCCCGGGAGGCCTATTTTTCTACATATGGCCTCACACACTTCTTCATGGGACTGTAAGTATGGCCATGTTTGCTGGGAAGATGGGCCTCACACACTTCTTCATGGGACTGTAAGTATGGCCATGTTTGCTGGGAAGATGGGCCTCACACACTTCTTCATGGGACTGTAAGTATGGCCATGTTTGCTGGGATGATGGGCCAGGTGGTGTGAAGTCCCTTCCGACGTAAGGAAGCCTGCATCTCATGCTGCCTTACCCACCATGCCTGGCTTGGTGGGTGAACTCACAAGAGGGAACAGAACCCCAGTTCAGAGCAGCCTGGACCTGGCACCCTAATATCTGAATGGGAATCTTAGTTCCACCACTTGCTAGCCAGGTGCCATTAAAATTACACAGATAAGAAACCCACTATACATGGCCTGGCATGATGGAATACTCAGGAGACAGGCAGACCTCTGTGAATTTGAGGGCAGCCTAGTATGAATATTGAGCTCCAGATCATCCAGGGTTACATAATGAGACCCTGTCTCAAAACAAACTTTTCCTTTCTTTTTCTTTTCTTTTTTTCTCTCTCTCTCTCTCTCTCTCTCTCTCTCTCTCTCTCTCTCTCTCTCTCTCTCTCTCTCTCTCTCTCTTTTATGAAAGAAACCCAGCACACCAGGTCGAAGTTGTTACACGTGTTTAAAAAAAGCACTGCTTCCTAACTGTGTGATCTTAGGAGAGTCACCTGACTATTTAAGCCTTAGCATTCCTCACCTATCAGAAGAATAGTGTGAGGCAGGTGTGGTGTCAAATACCTCTAATCCTAGTATTTGCCAGGTGGAGGCAGACGGATCAACAAGGTGAAGGCCACCCTTAGTTACATAGCAAGTTTGAAGCTAGCCTGGGTTACATGAGACTCTGTCTCAAAAAAGGAAAAGAAAGGAAGGAAATAGGAAGGAAGGAAGGAGGGAGGGAGGGAGGGAGGGAGGGAGGGAGGGAGGGAGGGAGGAAGGAAGGAAGGAAGGAAGGAAGGAAGGAAGGAAGGAAAAGAAATGACAATGGAGTGCTATACCTCATCAAGCTAGCATGCTTGGTTTGATCCTCCAGGAAGATTTGTGGTGTGAACACAGCTTACAAACGAGGAGGCCTGAGTTACCTTGACAGTTATCTTGACTAAATCAGAGGTGACTATCTTGACTTGCAGGACTCAGGAGGTCAGAGGCTCAGAAGGGAGGGGCCCAGAGGAAGAGGACAGAGACAGCACCACTGTTGCCCAAGAGAAGCCCCTCAATCTCAAAGTCATTCAACCACGGAAATGAGACAAAGCCATCCAGGGCGGTTGGGCAAGAGAGGGAGGTGCCTGGCAGGAAGCAGGAGACTCAGACTGAGTGTCTCCCAGTGAACAAGGGCCAAAGTATCAAGCAGCCTGGAGCAGGCCCAAGGGACAGAGACAGCCCTCCTGTAAATATCCTGGATTCAACTTGGGGTGCTTCCCAGGGCTGGAGAGTCCCACTCCACCTACAGTCTCCCTACCAGCCGGTCCCTGTGGCTGCAGAGGGACAACATCAGCTGACACTGACAGAGCTAACAGAACATGGAGTTGGCTTCTCATATCTGCATTCTCAGAGTCTACAACATGACTACAAAATAAAGTGTCTCTACCGAACATGTGGGATTTTCCTTATTACTCCCAGCCTGTCTTGGGAGTGAGATAGGTATATGAAAAGCTCAGCCCAACGTCACATTTGTGGTTAGGAGTGAAACAACAGGCCTACGAGATGGTTAAGAGCTCTTGCTGCTCTTCCAGAGGACCTGAGTTCTGTTCTCAGTACCCATGTCAGGCAGCTCATGACGACCTGGAACTCCAGTTCCGGGGGACATGATGATCTCTTCTGGCCTCTGTGGGCACCTGTATGTATGTAGCATACACAGAAACTCAAATGTACATCCAAATTATTTACTAAAGGATCATATTATATATAGTCCTCACGATGCACCAGCACGGGCACGATGGCTGTCACTACCCTACCCATTGGGTGGAGACATAGTCTAAGTAAATCAAGCGGCTCCTAAGGTCACATGGACAGGGCCTAGATCAAGAATTCCCTTTCCTGAAGTCCAGAGCTGCCTCCCACAGAAGCAAAACTTACTGGGTGTGGCTTCTAAATGTGTGCTACTGGTTAGAGCTCAGCTCAGTGATCAGAGGAGAGACCATGCTGGCCATTCCTGGGAAATGTAAGGTCTCATGCTTACTCCTTCCTGGGCTGTCTGTCTCTGCCTACTCTGTCCACTGGGATTCAGTATCCATTTTTCTGGGCTCTGACAAGGCACAGGGGCTGCCCCATCTTGCTGTCTCCAGCCAGGAGTGCTCTTGTCTCAACTGCTGATGCCCCTTCGTTTATTCACTCAAAAGTCACCTCTCACCCCCTAACACCGGTTCGGCGTAGCCACCGCTTTCCAGGGGAGGTGTTGCTACTGCTGTGGCCTTCCTTTTCTTCCTGCTCCAGGCACTGGCTGACAAACTGTGCTCTCTGCCAGGGTACCCACCGTCTTCAGTAGACGGGGACTTCCAGTCTCGGCTCCTCGCCCTAGTTCTAGAGCAGAGAGCGGCAGCTGACAGACAGACAGCTGGTGCTCCGTGTGTGCCAAGTCAAGGAATGACAACAAGCAGAAGGAGGGCCTGAGAAGATGGCCCTTGCTGCTCAAGCGTGAGGACTTGGGTTCAAATCTCCCACAAGGACCCACGTGGAAAGCCAAGCTTAGTCCTGTTACTGGACTCTTGGCAGCGTAGATAGGAGGATTAATGCGGCTTGATGGCTACCAGCCTAATTCCAGCTTCACTGACATACCAGGTATCAAGGGAATAAGGTATAGAGTGGTAAGAGCAGGGAACTTGAGGTCTTCCTCTGGCCTCTACACGAGTGTGCGCCAACACCTACGCCGTGCATATAACCAACACACACATACTGTCTACACAGACACATACAAGCATTCATACATATGTAGAAATATCAGGGACACAAGGCTGTGCGTGGAACTGGACTGAAGAACTAAGAGGAAGCAGGGAGACTATGTGGATAGAATTTTCACAACTGTCCTCACCTACACACAAAGTACATTTCCCAGACAATTCCAACAAGGAATGGGGAAAGGGAGACACCTAAGAGATCTCTGAAGATGAGAACTCCTGGTGGAAGGTCCCACAAGAGCAGACTTAAGGGAAAGGCTGTAGGGACAGGGAAAGTGGGTTGGGCACGGTGACCAGCTTATGTGGCTACAGCCTTGGGCTCAGGGTTCATAGGCAGGGGGAGGGAGGTTACAGCAGATTGCAGAAGGTATTGAATGACAGGCAAAGTTTGCAGTTTCTAAACTAAGAGTCATGGTAGTTGGTGCACACCTTTAATCCCCACGCTTGGGAGGCAAAGACAGGAGGATCTTTGTGAGTCTGAGGCCAGACAGTGTTACATAGACAGTACCCATCCAGGCTCTCCAGGAATATATAGCAAGACCTTTCCTCAAAACAAAACCAAACAATATGAAACAACAACAAAAATCTGAGAGGATCCTAAGTAAATCTCTGTATCTTTGCCATTTTCTAAGCCTTTTGGCTACTGTCAAGTGTACACACACACACACACACACACACACACACACACACACGTACACACAAGGTTTTTTAAGCCCCCATAGTTCAAAATGAAATCTGCCTCCTGTGCCTACCCTCCCCAGAAGTAACCAAGTAACGGGGCTGTGTCCTGCTCCTGTCGGTTCACACCCACAAAGATCGGCCTGGGTGCACTGTCCCCGGCCTGGGTGCAGTGTCCCCCGCCTGACTCCGGAGCCGCGGCCCGCTGTGCCTAGGCACCTTTTCTGCGGAGAGGTTCCTCGCATTTCCACCCCCAGGCAGGTGAAGTTGGCTAGATCCGCCTACTTCCGCCCCACGAGCCAATAGAGAAGTGTATGTAAATTATCCCGCTCTTGCGGCCACCAATGGTTGCGAAGGCGCAACAGGTCCGCCAGGTTTCTGGGTTTCCGCTCTGAGTGAGCTGGCGTGGTTTGGTACCTTCGCTCACCCGGATAGGAGCGATCTGGGAATCGGGAGACACCAGGACGGTTGGAGAGAAGACCTAGGAGCATAGGGAGGCAGGGAGGAAGCTGGAGGCAGCTGCCTGACCTTGGGTCGCTCTGACTATCCCGCCCTGCCCCTTTCCTGCCACGTGCACTCATGGGTGGACCTGGCTCAGCTGCTGGCTGGCCTATGTACAGGTTAACTGTGTGACCTTTTGAAGCTTCGGTTTGGAAGCTAGGAAAAGGGAGTAACAACGCCCTCCTAGTCCGTGCGTGAGGAGCCGTGGGCAGGCCAAATGAACGCTGCTGCGGAGCTCCACTTTTTTTTTTTTTTTTTGGTTTTTCGAGACAGGGTTTCTCTGTGGCTTTGGAGGCTGTCCTGGAACTAGCTCTTGTAGACCAGGCTGGCCTTGAACTCACAGAGATCCGCCCGCCTCTGCCTCCCGAGTGCTGGGATTAAAGGCGTGCACCACCAACGCCCGGCACGGAGCTCCACTTTTGCAAACCATTGTGCTTGCTCGTGGAAAAGGTGCTTGTGTACAAGCCTGACGACACACTTGGATCCCTGGAACCCACCCTCATGAAGATGGAAGGAGCGAATCCATTTCTTAAAATTGTTATCTGACCTCCACACACGTGCCGTGAAATACAATTCTAAAAATAATTTAAGGTTAAAATAATTATCTCTGGATGAGTGGCTGTTGCTCGCTCTTGAACTCACCGCAGCAGCAGCTACTAGCACAAGACTCTCGCCCATCAACATTCCATCCATTCTGGGGCAAGGGCTCATAAGGCCCCACCTCTCCCTTCCCTGAGGAGCTAATGTTTGTGTTACATTCAAAGTTACAGTTAATGTTTACTGGGAGAGGTAGGTCATATTCCTCAATGGTGTAGTCATAGGTAAATTTCCCTTGCTCAAGTAAATCGCCCATCTCCTCCAAGCAACCCTAATTAAATACAATGGGCGGCACACAAGACATGAAATAGGAGAGGAACTTGGGAAGTAGAGCTTCAGAGGGAGGGAGAAAAGAATAAGCGGACAATGATGAGTGTGTGTGTGTGTGTGTGTGTGTGTAAAATTGTAAAAGAATAAAATAAAAGAAAGAAAAAGTAGAAGCCCACTGGAGCGTGGTGGCACACACCTTTAGTCCCAGCACTAAAGAGTCAGGTGGATCTTATGAATTCAAGGCGAGACTGGTCTACATCGTGAATTCCAGGCCAGCCGGGGTTGCATAATAAAACCATCTCATAAAAAAGGGATGTAGGTCAGTGGTAGAGTACTTGCCTGGCATAGCCAAGATCCTGGGTCCCAGGCCTGGCACAGCAACCTGAGCATGTCTTTGGGCCTCGACAACCCAGCGTGTGAATGCTGGTATTGCCAGTTGCTTGTGGTAGGACCTGAGGGACATCACACTTCCTCTGAATCTTGCTTCTAAGCCCTGAAGAAAGAATGGCAGGAGGTGCTGTTAGGATTACAGGACTGTTTTCTAAGGCACAGGGCCAGGCTGAGTGTGGCTTGGACCAAGGAGCCTCCCAGAACTTCATTTCATCATCCATCTTTCAGATGCCACATGCCTGTGTCTCACGTCTTAGGTGACATAAGACACATTTATAAAGAGACACATTTATAAAGAGAAAAGCAAGACACTGATGTCATTTAGTGGAGTGTGGCATGGCTGACACATTGGAAAAGCATTAATATTGGCTCCAGCTCTGCCTCTCGGGTGCTGAATGACCTTGGGCAGGTTATTTCACTCGTGGATCTGTTTTCTTTCCCACGATGCAGCACCATTGGTAAGATGGTGTATGGGAAACACCTGCATCATATCTGGCACACATCAGACTTTAATAAGTTACTAGACGTTCTTTCTTTAAATTGCTATATTGTAGCCAGGTGTTGGTGGTGCACATCTTTAATCCCAGCACTCGGAGGCAGAGGCAGGTGGATCTCTGTGAGTTTGAAGCCAGCCTGGTCTACAGAGAAGTTCCGGGACAACCTCCAAAGCAATACAGAGAAACCCTGTCGCAAAAAACAAAAACAAAACAAAACAAAACAAAATTGCTATATTGGTTTCCTTGTTACTTCTACTCAGTGGAGTTAAATCCCATTTCAGAGTGCTGGAGAGATGGTTTGGTGGTTAAGAGTACTGGACACTGGCAGAGGACCTGGATGAGGTTCCCAGCACTCACATGGTAGCTCACAACCATCTGTAACCTCACTCAGTTCCAGAAGATCCAATGCCCTCCTATGGCCTCTGTGGGTACCAGGCACACATGTTGGTATACAAACATACTTGCAGGCAAAGCATTCATACAAATAATAATAATAGTAATAGTAGTAAGAGGAGGAGGAGAAGAAATGTTTTAAATTATTCTATTTCACTCACATTTAGCAGGTGGAATAAAGAAGAAAAACCTTCATTCTTCAGTAATTAAAGATATTCATTAACTACATACTATGTGCCAGGCACTTTGCCCATGAAGCTGGTGTTAATCAGAAAATTAGGGCTCCCTTTTACATTTTTTTAATGTTCTTTGGCGTTTTGCCATGGGTGTCAGGTCCCCTGGAACTGGAGTTACACACAGTAACTCCATGAG